TACCTCCAAACTCTTTCGCTCCAAACTCTTTCGTGGGTTACTCATGATTCTACTTATAACTACCACTGCATGGGCAATATCCAACCACAGCTGAAGAACAAGTCCAGTCTTGTACCTCTTGTACCTTTTACTGTTATCAAGCGCAGTCTTCACCCGGTACGCCCACTTGTTATGCCATGTCTTCTTCCCTGGCAAAAGTTCTGTCAGCTCCCACTGGCTCAAACTTTTATCTTGCAAGATTTCTTCATAGCTCTGTAGTTCTCCACTATCTGTCCGTACAAGATTCAGTTTTCTTGTCTTTGGCGCTCTGCCACTTTTTAGGAAACTGACTTTCTTCTGCTTCCCTATAATGCTCCTCTGGCTCATGTGTCCACGCCTGAGTAAACTTGTAGTCATATATAGTGTGTCAGTTTTCTTACCCCGAGCCAGTACTAATGCTCCTTTAGTCACCTTTCAGGTACTATCTGAGAACACTACTGAATGACCACCCTCATTGAGCTGCAAAACAGAAATTTGGTTTTTCTTCAATTCAGGAACATGTCTGACTTTTTGCAAAGTCCATTTACTCTTGTTAGGGAGTGCAATATCAACGTCTCCTATCCCCACCACATCTAGAGCTTTTTCATCAGCCAGATATACCTTCCCAAAGTTACCTGCAACATAATCCCACATTAACTCCCAGTGGGAAGATGTATGGAAGGAAGCACCTGAATCCAGAATCCAGCCATCAACAGAACTGTGAACTGTCAACAATAGTGCATCCTGTATCTCTTCAATTACAATATTAGCGTCATCGTTCTCCTTCTTGAGATTCCTGCAGTTCTTTTTTATGTGGTCAGCCTTGCCACAATTTCAGCAAGTTGCCTGCTGACCAGACTTTGATTTTGATCTTCCTCTGTTCTAGTTCCTGTCCCGTGATCTCCCTCTAGAATCAACAATCAGTGCCGAACTCGAACCCGAGGTCTCACCTGAATCTTTCCTGCGCACCTCCTCAGCCAAAATCAAATCACGTATATCATCATATTTCAGTTTAGATTTACCTGCAGAACTGCTAACTGCCATCATCATGGCTTCCCAGCTATTTGGCAATGACGCCAACAATATCAGCGCACGAATCTCATCATCAAAATCAATTTCAACAGATGACAATTGATTAGTGATATTACTAAACTCATTCAGGTGTTGAGCAACAGACACACCTTCCGCCATCTTCAGGTTGAATAACTTTTTCATTAGGTGCACCTTATTTTTCGCTGATGGCTTTTCATACAAGTCTGATAAGAATGATATTAGATCCTTTCCCAATCATATGTCTAACACATGCTTTTTGACTCCTCTCTTAATGGCATTTCAAATCAAGCTTGTTATGGGTTCTTATTATGAGCAAGATATGACTTAAGAATGCCTTACAATGTAACATCCAATATGTTTGCGAATGACATACCACGTAATATGCAAATATAAAGGAAAAAAAAAAATGCATAGTGGTCCTCGCACTCATCCTCGATCTCCCCCTCTTGCACGTCACTCGAAGGATGTTTGACAGAGTGACGTGAACCAAATCTCTGATACCAGTTGTTATGAAAAAACGATGACAATAAAACGAAAAAATATATCGAGAAAATTACACCAGAAAAAGACGACACAAGATTTACATGGTTCGACAACTTCCCTACGTCCACGGAGCTGCAGAGGATTTTATTAGCTTTGAGGATTACACCGTCGACCACGTCGACTTACAAGAAAGAATTCTCTCTCTCTCTCTCTCCTACCCGAGAGCAACCACAGCTAAAGGGAGCATGCAACAAAAGCTAATTATTGCAATTTTTCTTCCTGCAGCAGAAGAGGTAGTTTTTGGAGAGAGCTAATTTAGCTTTGTGTTAATCCATTATTTAAAGAAGCATTAGCCCAATTAAGAAAGCCTTAATTCACGGAATTACAACAGAGAAGAAAGCGGGAACAAAGTTTGGCGGGATCCACTTATGGAGAAAAATCCTGACAATACTTCACAAAAGGAACTAAATTAATTAGCAATTAATTTCTGATTATCTGCCATAAAAAGAGTTGACATAGCAAGAGGTGGACCAGACTCCACCTACTCAACATTTACGACATTGTTCTTTGTGGTTGTTGTCTTTGTGTCGGTGTAGTTTCTCTTTGTGGGTTGCTCTCTGTTTCGGTTGGGCTGCTCATTATGATTTGTTTTCTATCTTGGTTGGATTGCTTTGTTTCTAATTTGTGATTTTGAATCTTCAAAAAATATGAGCTCGCGGACTTCGGGTGTCTCTTGAGTCTTGTACTGTAGTTGTGGATTGAAGTGTTATCCACATACATCACGAAAGGAGATAAAAAATTACGTGTGTCCAAGGAATAGATATAAAAAATTACATATGTCCAAGGAATAGATTAACAGCGGATTGTGACTTCATGTGAACATATTAATTAGTGATCAACATGTAAAATTAGTGATCAACATGGAGAGTTTCTTTGGAGAAAAAAATATCTTGTAAAATTGATCGTCTACATTTCAAATTCATTATTATGATAATGTTAATTGTTTTTTTAGAGTTTTATTTTTTATTTTGATTGTTGTGTTGTTCACTGCTAAGTGAGATATCCGAATATGCATAATATTTGAATTTATGTGTTTTTAGAGACTCTGAATGTAATTTTTGTTTTCATGTACGAGTTATTTAATCTCGATTGGTTCTCCTATAAACGAAACAATAACACAAGAACAATAAAATCTTTTTATCCTAAAAAGCAGCAACACATCTAGTACATAACTGTATAAAATAAACAGACATGAAACTTCCCCATAATAGTTTCTACACATTAGCTTCTTGACATAGTTGTGCAACAGTCTTTAATAAAGTTACAGCTGCCCCAAATAAAGCCTAAATAACAGCTATATAACATGTTATGATGTCATATTTTAATATTTAAATAGCAGTCATGTTATGCCATTTCTTTTTTTTTTTTAATTTTAGGTCAAAATTTCTTAATCAAAATGAATTTTTAATTTTAACATTTTTTATAAGATTATTTCAATGTAAATTTTAATTTTTTTAAATGTATTGAATTTATTGAATTAAGATTATTAGTTAGTTTTTGGAATTTATTTTGGCGGCAATTTAATTGAGATATCGAAACAGTAAATATTAGAACGATTATATAAATTATAATAAATTTATTTTTAAATTTGAATAATATAAATATTTAATAATTTTTCACGTGACATTTATATTTTATAAAAAAATTTAGAATATTTTTTTATTTGAAAAAAATTATTATATATTAAAATTAAATTTGTGTCTTCACGAAAAATTTTGAGGCTTACGTATTGCTTTACATTAAATTCTTACAAAAATTAACTAATAGATAAAATAAAAAATCTTGTCTATGATCATTTCTCGCAAATAAAAATATAATAGATTTACATCCATATTAATTTAGTTTTTTATGTATTTAAACCGAGGCGCATGCACACACACATCACAAATGCATTAGCATGAATCTCGAAGAAATTTGATGTACTAAGAGACATGAAAGTACGACAGAGATGACCACAAATAAAAGACTGAAAGTCATATCACTAGAGGATCAAGAGACTTAAGACCTAATGCAGATCCCTTGAATCGGGGTATGAAGCTAACTGGACAAAGGCCATTCAAGCCAAAAATTAAGATCTATCAAGCCGAGCTAAAGCATTAGCTCAACTCTCACACAACTTTGTCAACCGCCTCATAAGAGCCTAAAAGACTTTTCATCAGGTGGTCGAGGGTTTTATACGATTATATACTCCGCGAACACCCTAAGACCTTTTGCCAAGAGGCAAGTTACTGTTGGATTACGATACCCTATGTCTTATAGGCTAGTCTCATCTTGACAACAGAAGTTCCTCATCCAGGGTTTGATAGTCGACAACCTGGCAAAAGCAACCGACCGATAGACTCAAGCACACCGAACCGAGTTAGGACAACCGATGATCAATAGGAGTTCACCGACATTCCTAACTCAGCATAGTTAGACGAATGAGTCTTGCCGAATCAAGACCCATTGATCTCATATACTCATTTATGTAAGTACCTAAAATATCTTATAACGCCCTCATTAAAGTAGAGAGAAGTATATAATTATATATTTTATACCCCATCTCCTATAAATAGAGGATCATTTCTTCAATAATGGTTGTGACTCAGATTCAAATTCAAGTTGCGGACAAAGACATTGCTTGTTTGATCCAAATTACTCTATCAATTCACACAATCCCGACTAGAATATTTTGAAAGAGCCAAAATTAAGATAAAACTGTAGAAAAAGGAAACTCTAAAATTATTAACAGAGAACAAATTACATTTTGTTGTTTGATGTTGTAATTTTTTCAGTCCTAATTTTGATCTTCTATGTATAAATTTGAATTAATACTCAACATATGAAAATACAATATTTTTTGTGGCACTTTAGCTTAAAAAAGCTCTGAAATCACAGAAGACCTTCTTGATTGGATTGAAGAGTACAGATCAGCGTAATGTCACCTCCCAAAAGAGCCCTTATGGGTGGTGGGCAGCCCAGGACCTAGCCGATGTGGGACTATTTGTCCGTGACATTCTTCTCCACCCAATCACGTGACACCATCTTCACGGATCGGCTCCACTGAGAGTCCCACTGGACCATGGAGAGTTCACACACCTGACAGACAGTAATCTGCTCTGATACCACTTGTCACCTCCCAAAAGAGCCCTTATGGGTGGTGGGCAGCCCAGGACTTAAATACTGCTTTTCGGCCTTACACCTAGGCTCTGTTTGGCGTAGCTGCAGCTTTTCAACTTTTGCAGCTGCGCTGTTCCAGGAAGCTGTTGTGGGGAAGTTGTTGCAGGGAAGTTGGCTGAATGTTTGAGGCAGCTATGTGAAAACGGCCGCTACCGCTAAAAGAAAGCATGCGGAAAAAAAAAGAACTTTGCAGTTTGGGGCCGCGACGCTCAAAAAACGCGGCCCCAAACGGAACCCTAGCCAATGTGGGACTATTTGTCTGTGACAGTAAGCTGACTAGTTCATGAAATCGTCTGAACAGTAAGCTATTGTTGTGCTTCATGAATCGAAGAAAATCGAGATAACTTGATTTATAAGTGGCGCGAGGAGGCATCAAGAAATGCTCCCTGGATCACTTTTTCGTAAGCATTTTGCCACTTTCAATTCGTCCTTCGCCAACATCTCCTTCAAGACAACAGCATCCATCCACAAGTTGTCATCTTTAGCAGATTCAGCGCCGGTTCGCCGTGACATATTTTGGTGGAACTCGTCCATCATGAATTGCTTCAGGAATGGCGACGTTGAGCATGCCTGCAAGCTGTTCGATGAAATGCCTCACAGGAATGTTGTGACTTGGAATTGTATGATCTCTGGGTACGTTCAAAACATGAGGTTGGTTGATGCGCAGTCTATTTTTGATTTGATGCCGCGTAGGAATGTCGTTTCTTGGACTGCTTTGATGACTGGTTATCTGCAGGATGGTCGAGTAGAGGAAGCACGGAGCCTGTTTGATAAGATTCCTGAGCGAAATGTTGTCTGTTGGAATTCTATGATTTCTGGGTATATCAAAAATGAGAGGATTGGAGAGGCTCGGAAGATGTTTGACGATATGCCATCAAGAAATACTGTCTCCTGGTCCTTAATGGTTTCGGGTTATATTCGCCAAAAGCATTTGGATGAAGCTTTGGATTTATTCAAACAGTCTCCATCTCTCCCTACTTCTATTTACAATGCACTTCTGTCTGGATATGTTGAACTTGGATGCATCAAGGAAGCGGAGGATTTGTTCGCGAGGATGGATTCCAGAGATGCTGCATCTTGGAATTCCATGATCACATGTTATTCTAGAGCTGGGAAGATGGAACTGGCTCAACAACTGTTCGACGAAATGCCTCAGAAGGATGTTATTTCTTGGACCGCAATAATCCGCGGCCACTTACAAAAAGGAAATGTCGAGCGTGCGTCTGTGTTATTTGAAATGATGCCGGATCGTGATATCATGTCCTGGAACACAATGATGGATGGATTAGTTCAGAATGGTTTGCTAGATGATGCTCTGAATTTATTTCATAAGATGCCTAGTAGGGATATTGTGTCATGGAATACTATTCTGCAAGGATATGTTCTTAAAAATGAAATGGTTAATGCAAAAAGATGGTTTGAAAACATGCCACAAAGGAGCGAAACCTCATGGAACACATTGATTTCTGGATATCAAACTGCGGAGGCTCTTGTGTTGTTTTGTGATATGGTGAAGGAGGGATTCAAGCCTGACCAAGTAACATTAGTGATAGCAATTTCAATTTGTGGCTCTCTAGTTGCTCTTGGATGTGGAAAAATGCTTCACTTATATGTAATTAAAACTGGTTATGAGCATAAAATATTAGTAGCAAGCTCATTGATTTCCATGTACTCAAGGTGTGGCTTTGTTGAGGATTCTAGTCTGGTTTTCAAGAGCATGTCAAAGCGAGACACGATTGCTTGGAATGCCATGATTTCAGCTTATGCTTACCATGGATTTCCTGTGGAAGCCCTCGAACTTTATAAAAAGATGATTCGTAGTAAATTTCATCCAGACCATGTCACATTTTTGAATCTGTTGCTGGCTTGTTCTCATAAGGGGTTAATAAATGAAGGATTTTGGCACTTTAAATCTATGCAAGATGAATGGAAGCTTGCCCCCAGAGCCGAGCATTATTCGTGTCTTGTAGATCTCCTTGGAAGATCTGGATTCATTGCCCAGGCTTACAACCTCACGGAGAAAGTGCCAGAAGATCTTCAGTCAAATGCATGGGAAACTTTACTGAGTGCATGCCAAGTTCATGGCCATCTGGAAGTTGGAGAGCTGACAGCAGAAAGAGTTTTTGTTGGAAAGCATTCTGATGGAGGAATGCATGTAATATTATCGAATATTTATGCTGCTAAGGGGAAATGGAGTGAAGCATCACAGATCAGGGCATTGATGAAAGAGCATGGATTGAAGAAGGAAACTGGATGCAGTTGGATTGAGGTGCAGGGAAAGATGTTTTATTTTGTATCTAATGATAAGTCTCATCCTCATGTTGAACAGATATGCAGGGAATTGGACTGTATTTTTCTCAAGTTGGAGGGGACAGCTTGATGTAAATGAATCATCTTTAATTTTATTCCATACTTTTTGTTGAGGGAAAAACAGATGTTTAGCATCAAGATTTTGCATTTTTTGAAGGTTAATAAACATCTTTCTTTGAATTTTTTGTTGATTCAAAATTATTACAATCAAATATATGTATAATTTAACAATGAAAATAATAACTACAATATAAATTTATACAAGTATAGGAAATAAGATTTATAAGATGTGTTAGATTAAAATCAAAGATTGTATTTGCCACAATGGAATTAATTGCACTAAAACCAAATTTCAAACACCTTTGTAAGTAATTGATTTAACCCACAAGTATGATACATTCAAACCCTAGTATAGGGAAAGAATGCTATGTAACATGAGGTCTTCACTGACAACTATTTAATTTTTTCAGGTATTTCTCCTAGATAATAACTTATACATGATTTATATTAGATATGGGAGATTAATGATTTTATGGGCACAAGCCCTCATGATTAAATGCTTCACTTATTTGATAATTGAGAATACATTTGATTAAAAAGATTATTATATTGGATTGGCAACCACTAAACTTTGATTTTATTATTTTGTTTTTATTGGGGAGAGATGCTTAATTCAATAAATGTCTCATTATTCTTTCATCTAAGGTCAAATTGTTGAAAATAATTTACTTACAACAGAGAAGAGTTGACCCAGGCATAAGGGAATTTAATTAACAATCATACATTACCTCCTATAAAATATCCCAAGTAGATTTACAAATATATTTGAGGCTTTGGTTGGAGGTTATGAGACAATCTTTAAGGATTTGTACCACGCAAAGGTGATACCCACAGGAAATCTTGTAGGTAGTCATCTCAAAAATCATGAGTATCTCGAAATGTTGAGATTGTGAATCATGTTTATCTAAGCCTTGGATTAGGGTACAATGAGTTGAAAGAGAGTCCTAAGCACTAAGGTTTAGTGTAAATTTGTATGCTGTGGTTTTGTATAGTTTTGTATTATAAGATGACCACTCCATTAGCTCATTAAACCACATCATATTATCATAAGACTTTTTTAGAAGCAAATTACACTAATTTTTCCTCATAATGCTCTTATTATTTCAGTGGCTTTCCAATGTGCATTTTAATATTGTCCCTCCATTTTAATTACTGTGTGGAACCCCTTATCATTGTTATCCAGATCTTTTTTATAATTGTTCCTATTTATTTTAACTTATCTATTTTATTTTTCATGGATTCTATTTTTTATTAATTATTTTAGTTGGGTGCTATAAAAACCTGTCATTTTAAGCCTTGTATGGTCTCAGTTTTAGTGAAATTTAATGTTACATTTCATTTTGAAAGAAGGTATGGACCAAGATTCCATCAAAATAGTGGCAAAAAATGAAACTGAAAAAAAAAAATCTAATTATACTACTCCCACTATATTTTTAGGCATAAATTAATTTATTATTATCTGGATCATTCAAAGATAAGAAATTTTTAAAATTAGGCTTAATTTTTTTCACTAGAAACTCAAAATCATTCCTTTAACCATTTAATGGATAATCCTCCAATTTTGATTTCTTTTCAAAAGTTGCATTCATGTTTAAACTTTCTTCTAGAGAATAGTGTTTGATATACCTACCCCAACTCGTCTTTCGTGTTGGTCATTTCATTATTTGTTAATGCTATCACTAAAAATAACCTTCATGTTATTGAAATAACTTAACTCTATGCTTTTTATGATCAAAGTGGCAATAGCATATGACAATTATATGATTCAAATTTGAGCTTTTATGATTAAATCTCTAATGGATATGAAATTTTATATTCTATATATCAGAGGGGCATGAATCACAAAAATTTTTAGATTAGGTGTGAGAAGGTTCTAATCAAAATAATGAGAGATGGCCAACACATCAAATTTTATAAATACAGTTTAATTTTTTTTAACTAATTTTATATAAGTTTATTATAATTATAATAATTAAAATTAAAAATAATAACTAATACCAATATAATCTTAATTTATTAATTACATGACTAATTAAGGAGTGCATAACATAAAGTTTGGAGAAAGCCTACGTGGGAACATGATTTGTTACTTTGATGGCAAAGGAATAGACAAAGAAAATTGGCTTTGAGAAGCTTTTTCCTTCAAAAACACCAAATAGAGATGAGTGAATGCTGGGGAGGGGAGGGGAGGGGAGGGGAGGAGAATAAGAGCAAGGTTAGGGTTCCTTTCTAGCATGTATGAAAAAACATGATATCTTCCTCTTATCTTAGAATCTATTAATACTTTTTCTTGCATGTTATTTAATAAATAATTTTTGAAATATAATACAATCTTATGAGGATATATTCTTGGTAATAAAATTATTTTTTATGATAAAAAATAGAATATATTCATATTAAACTATTTATGATGTTTTCATGTTGTTTCATGTTTTGTATCTACATAATGTAAATATTTTCTTAAATTTAAATTTTATTCATATGATTTTTTATCAGTAAGGTTATGCATTGTATATGATCAACATAAAAATGGTAATTTATGATATAAATATATTAAAATTTTTTAGTATCATATGATTATCTTCTGTAATATTGAACTAGACATAAATTATAAGGCATTTAATTTTATTTTTTCAGGACATGTTAATACTTCATGAAACCCTCATATAATTTATAATATATTTCATTATTCTAATAAAACATCTTTCAAAATTAATAACTGATATAGGAGTTTTAATTCAAAGATTTTAGTAAATATAAAAATGGTTTTGGTGAGTCATATAAATAAAATCCTTTCTATCTCATTTTTTATATATTTATATCATAATAATACTAATAAATAAAGTATCCCATGTAAAGTAGACATTACTATGAAATATTTACGTTGAATTTGAAAATTAGACATAAATATTTTTAAGTACAAAAATCTTAAGGAAATAATATCATATATTATTTTTGCATATGCATGCATATATGAAAATTGATAAATTATTTAAATGACTGAAATGCATGTGTATGATAAAAAATGGTTAAATGAATGATCCAAGTTTAGCAACCATAACCAAATAGTCCTTTTGAAACAATATTAACTACTGCAAAAGCTTTCCTACAAAGATTTCACTAATAATATAATTGGTTTATTAGAAAAAAAATTTTTGTTTATTTATTTATTTGCCAAATCACTTTGATAAATATGGATGTTAAGAGCAAGCTTATCAAACATCAATGGCACATCAATTGGAGCCTAAGACAAGTCTTTAGGAGGTTAATTTACATGCTAGCATTCTTATTTTAAATTTGTAAGGTTCATGTTGATATGACTTTAGCTCAAGTTCTCAATAAGAATTTCTTAATTGCCTAAAAATTAATAAGTCTTATTTTTTATACATTAAATATATTTAATTCTTTATTGAATAACTTTTGTAATAATTCCAATCCAATTTGACCATTCTTTTTAACTTACATTCACAAAAAAAAAAAAAGAAATAATTTATAATATAATTATTTTAAATACTGATAATTACAACTTAAATCACTGTGACATATAGTATATTTTTATGTAGAATACTATATTACATTATAGAGCCATTTATGAGCATACAACACAATTCTTAACTATTTACATTTCTAATAACAAAATTTTCATATTTATATACATAACACTCAAGCTTTTAATATTACATAAAATATGCACCTATTAACTTCTTAAAAGTGAAACACACATTTTCATTCATAGGTTTATGACATCAAATGTTATACATGTAAATGTAAACATTAGATCTTCGATAAACAAAGATATTGGAAGTAAGTTGAATGTATGCAAATTTCCCTATTTTATAATTATATTTGAAATTTATGAAAATGCATATTCCAAAACTTCTACTCATTTGCAACACTGCCACTCTAAACACATTTTGGCAATCATATTGGTCTTGGCTTAACAATATATAAGTTGTATGTCTTGGCAATCATTTGGAAGTAAGTAAGTAACAATAGAGCTAGTGTAGAAGAGTATAATAGGTTTTTTGCTAACATAAGTAGCATGTTGATGTTGTCTTCTAGACCACTAGGGAAGGTAATATGAGGTAATTTGTGAAAATGGAGTCCATGTGTTTGTTAAGCATAAATATTGGACTTAGTATTGGTCAAGTCATAAATATAATGTTGTTTGTTAATTTCTTTATGATATCATTTAATTTCCTTACATAATTATTTATTTTTTAATTTAACTAATTATTTATGATTGAACATTGATTTGGTAAATCTTATTCTCATTATTATCTTAAGATTATGTGGAATTAAATATCTCACATGTTCTTAAAATTTTATGCTTAGATTTAGCATTCTAGTTACATCACCATAATATTTTGTTAAATATTTATAGACTTATGCAACTAAAGAATATTTGACATGCCTAAAGAGTGGGAAACTTCAAATCTTGTGCTATAGTCCTGGTGATGAAGTTATTATAGGGTGATAATCCCTTTCTTTCATTAGGGTATAAAGTTATTATCCATATTTTAGATATACTTCCTGCAATAAAAACTAGACAAACAATTCAAGTCCCACTAAATAAGGCGTTACTTAGCTCGAAAATAACGATAAATAAATAAATAAATAAATAAAGATTACTTAAATCTTCTTAAAGAAACAAATAAAGTGTCTATCAACATTTTATAATAAAGTGTTAGACCCATCAATTTATTACCATCAAAGTACAAAACTTAGAGTTAACCTTAGAAGATGTTGTTCTTCAAAAAACTGAAACCAATGGAAATCAAATTGATTACAAAAATTTTTATACTAATTGAAAATATCACATATTATTAAAGAGAGGATTGAAAAAATTACCCATAATTATCAAACAAGTGAGGCAACTGAGAACTTGAACTAATAATCTTAAGCAACTATATTGCTAAAAATTATCTAGTGTTGGTAGCATGCAAGTGAAATAACAAGCTATTCATTGACAACGAGGAGAACACATTGATACAAAAGACCAATCAAGTGTGAAGGAGTTAAAAGTTTAGGAGGAGAATTTAATGAGCTTGTTTATAAATATTTATTCACATTTTACAATCATAAAAACATTATAAAATGCTCTCTTTCAAACTCTTTAATTATTGGAGCTATTTCTTTTTTATGAATCAAGTCTTTTTTGTGCTCATTATGCCTCTTATAGTCATAAATTAAATAAAATTAAGAAAGAGAGGTGTTCACTAATTTTAACAAATAGGGACTAGATTGTCTCAAAAGAAAGCTAAGGTAAATAGGAGCTAATGACAACCGAAAGAAGCCCGCTACCATTGATGTCAAAGGTCTAATATGGTTTTGTAGAAAACCAATGTAGGGAAGGGTAGATGAAAAGCTTCTCAGGCTTACTAGAATTGATAACAAGGTTTAGATTATGTCTACTAGCAGCCCAGATTGGGAAGGGGTGAAAATAAATATAGCTTAGTTTGCATTTATTGACAATGAGAATAAGGAAAGGTTAGCGATAACCAAGTCAATCTCATTGACACTAGCAACCAAGTCAATGGTTCACCAAATATCACAAAGATATCTCTAATCAAGAGTCATTGACCAACTATAAAATTTGTCACTTTAACCAAAAATTCTCCTGAAGGTTCATTTTTATATTCCAACCATTTAGAGAAAATATTTCTAGGCCAACTTTTTTTGGCTCTTTATAAATTAGATGATTCACTTCCACCAAATTTATGCTAAGTATGTGAATCCTATTAGAAATCTTAATCTAAAGCGAGTTGCAACCTGTTTGAAACCCTATGAATCTCACAGTTCTAACCCAATAAACAAACAGCTTCTCACATTAACCCATATTATCTATCATTAAGAAGAACCCAACTCAAACCAAAACTCTAAAATAAGATTCTTGAAGGAACATTTTATTTATAGAAGACATAAGAATCTAATATAATTTACCAATATATATATTAATAAAAAATACCCTAAAAATTTTACACTTCGGCCGGCTGTAGAAGGCAATGTCAACCCTAAGCACCGCTAAATTTAGACAACAATAGCATTTGCGCAGCTGATTGGATACAAATTTGAAGGATACTCGTCTCAAACAAGGCTTGCCCTTACTGGAATAAATCGGTAACATACGCTAGGCAGGTAAAATTCAGTCGACTGCTTGCTGAACAGTAACAAATACACGGTGGTATCCCCCTCAAGGTTTATCATGAAACAAGCATCCTATAAAATTCATTCTGAATCCACAAAAATCTGCAAAAAAATAATAAAAATAATAATCTGACAGAACTACTATTTATAATTTTACAGAATTTGATAACATTATGGCAGCATGATAAAATGCATATATTGACTAACCTCAAAGTCCGGTAATGGATCATAAAGTATATTTTCTCTGGTATCACAAATTGTGATTCCTGAGATCTTCTGGACGCCCAGTTTAATGGCAATCATGTTCTGCATGAAAAAAATGGCAAACCCAAGGGGGATGTAGAGTCAAAATTAATGGAGCAAAATGAACGGTTTACTAATTTGTTCGGCATGGAGATTACTTTATGAGATTAAATCAGCTTAAAATGCAGGCACAAAAAAACTCTTTTTAATCGACATGATAGTCAGAAATATTCCAAGATCAACCATTTCCGAATATATCATCATTATCACTAATCTCATCCTGACTACTTAGAGTACGGCTAAAGAATTCACGTCATTTTTGTGCATTTTTCTTTCACAGCTTCCAAACATGGGTTATGTTTGTCCACTCCGATTTCATAATAATCCTTCCATATTAATTTATTTATCGTCATAATTTATCTACCCTTGTTTTTTTATTACGTGGTATAAGGTAACAATCTGCACGCATGAAAGGGGTTTATGAAATCTATAAATTTAACAGATTAAGCAATTGCCAGCATTAGTAAATACAATACCAAAACAATTGGCAGCACATAAAATATTCCCTCAATTCAGATAGAGGTTATTTTAAAAAGCTTCATTTAATAAAGGGCAACCAACTCACAAGGCTAAACTCTGTAGAACCATAAGCCTCCAATGGCTCAAGTACCTGCATAAATTGTCATTTTAAAGTTTAGACAGCCTGATGAAAGTCAGAAAACCTATCAAAACATGTCAATAGTGAGAATCAAGCAGGTTTTAATGCAGCTATGGCATGTCAATAGTGAGAATCAAGCAGGTTTTAATGCAGCTATGGCCAATTTTCACTACATATAAAAAATTACGAAGGAAATGTGACACATATAAAATCAATGCCTTAATTGCAGCACGACATTGTTATATCTAAAGTTTAAATCATCACAGCTCGTTTAGTCATATGATAATGCATTTTTTATTGCGGGTTCGAATCCAACACTCTACATCAATTTTTCTAATTAATTTAAACGAGCCCATTTGTGCTGAACACGAAAATTTTTTTGAACCGAAGAAGAACATAATATTTACAAGCCACTTCGAACAACAACCAATTTTGAACAAAAACGAATATAAACAAGCCGAACACTAACAAATGTTCAACGCACTCAAGATCGGCTCGTTTACACCCCTAGTTCCCTGGATCCATGCTTGTTTCTAATAGTTCCTAGTTCATTCATCTCAACATTCTCATAAATTGAGGCAGGGGTTTTGCTACAAACAAGGAGGAAACAAGAACAACAAACTAGTGATGATGGAGACTCGGAAAACCAAAGGCGAGGAAAGGGACCACATATGTGTGGCTTTAGGGACCACTCTATCGATTTCCTAACCGGACTTCTCAACTGTCTTAGGAGTGCTACTACTGATATCTCCAATTGTGAGTAGTTGTTTGAATGAGGGTGAGTGCCTGCTCTGCTTCTGCTATCTCTCAACTTGTAATTCTAGAAGAATTATTCAGTCTGGAGAACGCACGCAGGGTTACCTAAGCCAATAAAAAACTGACAGTTGAAGTTATGGCCCACAAGCAAAAAAAATTGTTTTTACAGCGCGACCCGGCCCGAGCCCCGCCCAATATCAAAAAAGCGTCTATTTATCACTTTATGATCCCGCCAAATCATATATTTTGGCACTTTGGATCCCGCCAATTCGTAAATTTCCAGCTTTAATTCCTTTTAGGTGTTAGGAAATATTTTATTTTTTCATTTGCGTTCGTATTCAGCTAGGGTTCTTCCGATGGATTTCTTTCTCGACCAAGAAATGCTGATGGAATCGCAAAATGACTGCATGAATGATGTCAATGAGCTTAGTTTATTAGCTGAGGGTCGAACCGTTCCGCAGGTGAACTTATTTCTTTCTATTTACTGGTGTTATTAGGGTTTAGGGATGATTGGAATATTGTGGAGCTATTCTGGTTTGATTACTATATGATTTGATTACAACATTACTGTTATGTTGGAGGATGGGTGTGGTGTTGGCTAGATATTATCATGGTTTTTAGATTAAGAGTTTAGAATCATAATACTACTAAAATAACAACAAAATATCACCAGAAAGAAAAAAATCACTTATATTATCATAATATTATCATAATAACACCAGAATAACACCATAATAACACCAAAATAAGACAGTCGCTTTGAACAACACATTTATTTTATTATAATGTCATAATACAACAATAATATATTCTATCTGTTTTGGTATTATCACGGTGTTATGTTGTCGTTATAATTAGTATTATTTTGGTATTATTTCCGTGTTATTATAGTTGTATTATGATATTATTGTTGTATTATTGGCTTTGAACTACATTTGTGTTATTATGGTATTGTTTATGTATTATTATGGTGATATTATGTACTATAGTATTATTTCTATATCGTTTCATCATAGTCTTATTGGATTTATGAATAGGTTTTGTTTAGGCGTTATTTTTGTCATTCTAATGGTGATACATTAAAATTTGCAGTTCGCCGAGCCTGTAACTGTGTGCATTGATCCAATTGCGGAAAGCTTGCTTCGAACAGTGGTTCATAATGAGAAGGAAGCCTATGAACAATATTGTGCATATGCACACCAAATTGGATTTATTGTGCGGAATGACCATGTTGGTTTTTCGTTAAATTCTAAAATGATTAAGACAAAGGATTTCATTTGTGGTAAAGCTAGTTTCAAGAAAGAATTGAATAACAATATGACAGTAAATTACAGAAGAGGGGACACAAGGACTAGTTGTCCAACCATAGTCCGATATGTCGTCGATGTCGAAGGTAACTAGTAGGTTAAGAAATTTATAGAGAGTCATAACTATCTTTTGGCGGCGGATGGTGACAAACATCTATTACGTTCCAGTAGAACGATAAGTGATATGAATGCATAAGTGCTGAGATCGATGACAAAATCAGAGATTAGAACAAACGATGCATTTAGTTTTCTGGCTACAGAATTCGGGGGGTGTGGAAAATTTAGGTTGCACGAAGAAGGATGCTTATAATTTTATACAAAGAGAGAAGAAGTAAAATTGAACAAGGGGACGCTAATTCTCTTCTACGATTATTCACTGAGAGACAAACTGAGAATACGATGTTTGCATGGAACGTCCAGATTGATGAGTCTGGTAGTTTGTTGAATTTTTTTTGGTTCTTTTGGAGTTGAATTTTTTTTGGAGTGATGGGATATCCAGGCTCGATTACGATTGCTTTGGGGATGTTATAATATTTGATACAAGTTATAGACTAAATAAATACAATTTATGTTATACTCCTATTGTCGGTGTGAACCACCACTGACAAAATGTTCTATTTGGAGTTGGCTTTTTGTCAGATGAAGCAATTGACTCATTCAAGTGACTATTTAAATCAGTTATCCGGATAATGGATAATAAGCATCCGATATCAATATTCACTGACTAGGATTAAACAATGGCTAGAGCCATTGAAGAGTGTCTTCCGCACACCAGACATAGATTATGCCAATGATATACTTACAAGAAATTGTCTTCAAAAGTCCATTGTAGTGTGAGCACCAAGAGGGTCAATGAGATTTTTTATAAATGCATGGGTAGATGCAACTCCGAGGAATTTGAAGAAACCTGGTGGACAATGATTCAGTTAGGAAATCTACATGACAATGCCTGATTGAATAGTTTGTACAATATCAGACATAAGTGGTCAACAACATTCAATAAGGAAATACTTAGGATGAGAATCCTTTCAAGAGTCCACGAATAATATCTGTCATAATGCCTCTAAGCCAACAAACACTCTCCCTGAAAGTTTCTTGGGTCTTGAAAATGTCATGAAATCTTGGCGAAGGAATGAGAATGATGAAGATTTTAAATGTGAACAATATGTAATTGTTCCCGCTGTAAAAAGTAGTCCCGTGTTGAGGCAATGTGCTTTAGTTTATACGAGCAATTTATATTCAATATTTGAAGCAGAGTTGTTACATGGTTTGTGTGGACTTGCTGTGGAGTGCTCAGCCAACGAAGATTCTAAATTTTACATCAGAAACTTAGATAGTGAACACACAGGCAGACCCTGGATTGTTAAAGTCAGTAATTCTGAAATTACTTGCAATTGCAAAAAATTTGAAATGATTGGTTTATTATATTCTCACTCTCTAAGGGTGCTTAGTCATGAGAATATAACAAAGATCCCTGATAAATATTTATTATTACGGTGGTATGTTCATGCAAAGAGGGATATATATAACAGCTATAGATATAAACATCTGAAAGATTCGCAAACGTCACCAAGTTGCTCCAATGAACTCATATATTGAACACACATTCAAAAATTTGCATACCATATCAGTATATTAACGCAAGGTAATGAACTTGCTGAGAAAAATGTTCTGGAGGCATTAAAGAATCTAACAATCGAATCAGAGACCATACTGAATAGGAGAGACCATCGGGAAATGCCAATGTCAAAGAAGAAAGAGACACCGATTATACAACACAATTTGAACGACCCAACGAACATGCGACCAAAAAGAATATCTAATGCAATGTTAAAAAGCTTTTGGGAGAAGAACAAGAGAGTAAAAAGTAAGCTTTATCAATAGTACTAATAAATCTGTCTTTCTATATGTTGTTTTACAACTCCCTAACATGAAGCATTGTATTACAGGAAAGGACAAAGATGTTGGCTCAAGTCAAGATACATTTCATCCATCCGACCCAAACCTGTTTACAATGTCGAATCGATATAGTCAGATACATAACTTAATTCGAAACACTTTGTAATTTGTGAACTAATTATGATTATAAGATTATACTTATTGACTTACATTCATTTTTTGATTGCCCAAAATCAGGAGGAATTGTCTGCATCACTGCCTACAGACACATGTATGAGCTTATTTATGGACCTAAATGAAATGTGAAATATCAATAAACTGCAACGAATGAACGTTATTGTTTGTTATTGTGGAATTAATGTAATTTCTACAACACTAATCTTGTTTAATATTTTACTAGTTTATTATAGACTTCGGTTAATATTACCAACAATAATTTTTTATGCAGTGTTAAATCTAAACCTTGATATTTAGATAATATTGATGCAAATACGAGTGGTATAAGATTACATATTGAATATTACCGTAATACAACCAAGATATAGCAGCGCTCGCTAAGGAATATTTTTCAGTTTAATTGGAATATTCATTTGTTCTATTCTTCACTCCGCGGTCATATCTTGGTTGTTCCGATGATATATTTATAATATTAAGCTGTTTTATATATTTCATCATAAAACATGTAAAATAAGAAGCAATAAAACCTTATAATTATAAAAATACTGTCTAAATACGACAACAATAATATAGGTTTGAATAAAATATTTTGCTTATTTTTTAAAGCTTCATTGAATAGGCTGTCTTGTACTAAAAAATTACCAGAATATTACCGTAATACAACCAGGATATAACAGCGCTCGCTAAGAAATATTTTCCAATTTGATTGGAATATTCTTTTGCTGTATTCTCCACTCTGCGGTCGTATCTTGGTTGTTCTGATGATATATTTATAATATTAAGTTGTTTTATATATTTCGTCATAAAATGTGTGAAATAAGAAACAATAAAACCTTATAATTATAATAATAGTGTTTAAATACGACAACAATA